GTCATTGTTGTTTGGCAGGCCCGGGCTGGATTTGAACCCACCACATTAGGTGTATGTGGCTGGCACCTTAGCCAGTTGAGCCACAGGCACCAAGCTAACAAAGAATGTTTTCAAGAGCAAAATTCGAGATAACAGGAAGATTAGAAAGAATTTGGTATGGTGGCTCGGCATTTTTACATGTCACCAAGTGAGGAAATTAAAGGTAAAAATATAAAAGTGATTTGATTTGTACAAAGTTGTAACATCTAGGGGAAGACCCAGAACTAAACACTAGTCCCCTGGTTCAAGGTGAGTACTCTTTCTATAAGGCATCAATAACCACATATTTGGAGTCTATCATGTAATGGACACATAATGCCAGTACGTTATGTGTCAGATATACAAATGTAAATAAACCTGATTCCCTCTCCCCTTGAGGTTTAAATTACAAGGGAATATAAACTGTATTAACGTACCTGATCCAAAAGTCCAAATTTGGGGTAATCTTCTTCTGGGTCTTTGCTCCCAGGATCTGGGTGTTCCTTCACCAAGAATACATCTCTTTCTTTACTCTAAAAGGAAGAAGTGTTTTAGTGTTAATAAAATTTTATACTTAAAATGGACCAAATGTGGTGGCTCTTGCTTTAATCCTATTAGCACTCTAGTTGGGCATTGTGGCGGGCACCTGTAGTCCCAGCTACTTGGGAGGCTGAGGCAAGAGAATCAGTTAAGCCCAAGAGTTCAAGGTTGCTGTGAGCTGTGACGCCATGGCACTTTACTGTGGGGAAATAGTGAAACTCTGTCTCAAAAAAAGAAAAAATCCTACTAGCACTTTCGGAGGCCAAAGGAGAAAGATCACTTGAGGCCAAGACTTCAAGACTAGCCTAAGCAACATAGCAAGACCTAGTCTCTACAAAAAAAGGGAGCAAAGAATCAATGATCAACCACCAATTCCAAAAGTCAATTCCTCTTGCTAGACACTTGGGGAGTTAATTATAACAAAAAACAGAACAAAAAAACCAAAAGTCAATTCTCACGTATAAGTTTCCAATACAGTATGATTTTCCCCTCTGATTAGAAGATTAATACATGACCATCAAAAAATTCAAACAACAGAGAAAAATAAAGAGAGCCAAAGTCATTCATAATTCTCACCTAGATGGCTCAGCACCTATGGCTCAAGTGGCTAAGGCGCCAGCCACATACACCTAAGGTGACGAGTTTGAATCCAACCCGGGCCCACCAAACAACAATGACGGCTGCAACCAAAAAACAGCTGGGCATTGTGGTGGGTGCCTGTGGTCCCAGCTACTTGGGAGGCGGAGGCAGGAGACTCGCTTGAGCCTAGGAGTTGGAGGTTGCTGTGAGCTGTGATGCCACAGCACTCTACCCAGGGGGACAGCTTCAGGCTTTGTCTCAAAAAAAAAAAAAATCCTCACCTAGACCACCCATGCACATCACAGAGATAAGCATATGAACAACCTGCTGTTAACTTCTTCCTAGGTATTCTAATTCTAAAGACAGTGATGTTTAAAACAAGGATTTTTTTTAAAACACAAAAATTAAAGAAAAACATAAGGTCTCCAATTTCAATATAAAATTATACTTGCAAAAGTGCAATGGAATAATTTTTCAGTCCATAAAACTACTGTGAGCGTAGGAGATGCTCACTTAAGACAATACGCAGGCCAGGATCAAGATGGCTCATACCTGTAATCCTAGCACTATGGGAGGCCAAGGCGGGTAGACTGCTTGAGCTCACGAGTTCGAAATCAGCCTAAGCAAAAGCAAGACCCCATCTCTACTAAAAACAGAAACCTGAGGCAAGAGGATCACTTGAGCCCAAGAGTTGGAGGTTGCTGTGAGCTATGATGCCACAACACTCTACCCTGGGTGACAACTTGAGACTATCTCAAAAAAACAAAACAAAACAAAACAAAACCACCAACCATCTAAAACACAATATGCAACTCCCTGATTTAAATGTACAAATTAGCTATATCTCATACTCAAAGATTTAATACTGGCCAGGCACAGTGACTCAAATCTATAATTGCAGCACTTTGGAATGCTGAAGAGGGAGTATTTCCTATGCCCTAGAGTTTGAGATCAGTGTGAGCAACATAGCAAGATCCAGACTTTAAAAAAAAAAAAAAAATTAGCCAGGCACGATGGCACACACCTCTGGTTCCAACTACTTGGGAGGCTGAGGCAGGTGGATTGCTTGAGCTCAGGAGTTTCAGGTTGCAGTGAGCTATGATGCCGCCACTGCACTCAAGCCCAGGTAAGAGAGAGACCATTTCTCATTACTATGCAAAAGAAAAAAAAGATTTAATATTAAATTGTCCTTGTTTACTTTTATTTCTTTTTTTTTTAAATTGAGAGAGAGTCTCACTGTGTTACCCTTGGTAGAGTGCCTCGGCATCATAGCTCATAGCAACCTCAAACTCTTGGGTTCAAGCAATTCTCTTGCCTCAGCCTCCCTAGTAGCTGAAGGCACCTGCCACAAACACCTGGCTATCTCTTTTTCTTTGTTTGTTTTGTTTAGCAGGCCTGGGCAGGGTTCAAACTCACCAGCCCCAGACCATGTGGCTGGTGCCCTAAACACTGAACTATAGGCACCTAGCCTGTCCTCATTTTCTATTTCTTTTTTATTTATTTTATTATTTATTTATTTTTGGCCGGGCTGGGTTTGGACCCACCACCTCCAGCATATGGGGCCAGTGCCCTACTCCTTTGAGCCATAGGCACCGCCTTCTTTTTTATTTTTTTTGAGACAGAGTCTCATTATGTTGCCCTTGGTAGAGTGCAGTGGCATCACAGCTCACAGCAACCTTGAACTCTTGAGGGTAAGTGATTCTCTTGCCTCAGCCTCCCAAGAAGCTGGGACTACAGACGCCCGTCACAATGTTCGGCTATTGTTTGTTATTATTGTGTCTTTGTTTGGCAGGCCGGGGCTGAGTTTGAACCCACCAGCCTTGTCTATGTGGCCGGTGCCCCACCCGCTGAGCTACAAGCACTGAGGCAATATCCTCATTTCCTTATTCATCACATTCTTTACCAGTCTGATTCAACAGAATTTAAGTTTTATTAAACATAGGTTTTCTAAACGTCAAATCTAATCAATTTTAGTCTACTTACCATTGTTTTAACGATGTTATTTGGCCAAGTCATTTTCCCAGGTCTCTGTCTGGTTGTCATGCACTCCCAGTATTTATCAATAAATGGTATAATATCCTAATTTAAAATAAAATATATTAAGATTTTTATATTTGTTTTCAAAGTTATGTTGACAAAGAAAGAAGACAGCAGCATTTTCAAAGACCTTGTCCGAAGCAAGAGAAAATTCCACGTTTAATCTTTGAATCACTAAGTATTTAATTGCACACAATCACATGTATATATATTACGAGGATTTTATTTGTTTTTGTTTTGAGACAGAGTCTCAAGCTGTTGCCCTGGGTAGACTGCCATGGCATCATAGCTCACAGCAACCTCAGTTTTTCTATTTTTAGAAGAGATGGGGGTCTCCCCTTTTGCTCAGGCTGGTCTCGAACTCATGAGCTCAAGCAATCCACCTGCCTTGGCCTCCCAGAGTGCTGGGATTAGAGGTGTGAGCCACTGTGCACAGCCTCATTATGAGGATTTTAAAAAGTATATATAGGCTCAGCGCCTGTGGCTCAAGCAGCTAAGGCACCAGCCACATACACCTAAGGTGGTGGGTTCGAATCCAGCCCGGACCTGCCAAACAACAATAGTGGCTGCAACCAAAACATAGCCAGGCGTTGTGGTGGGCACCTGTGGTCCCAGCTACTTGGGAGGCTGAGGCAGGAGACTCGCTTGAGCCCAGGAGTTGGAGGTTGCTGTGAGCAGTGAAGCCATAGTACTCTACTCAGGGGGACAGCTTGAGGCTCTATCTCAAAAAAAAAAATAAAAAAGTATATACAAATCAGGTCAGATGTGGTGGCGCACGTCTGTAATCCTAGCACTTTGGGAGGCCTAGGTGGGTGAACTGCCAAAGCTCAGGAGTTTGAGACCAGCCTGGGCATGAGCGAGACCCTGTCTCTACTAAAAATAGAAAAATTAGCTAGGTGTGGAACTTCTGAGGCTGAGGCAAGAGGATTGCTTGAGCCCAGGACTTTGAAGTTGCTGTGAGCTATGACACCCCAGAACTTTCCCCAGGGCATCAGAGTGAGAAACTGTCACAAAACAAAACAAAACAAAAGACTATACACATCTTAGCCACGTAGGGCTAACAACCCAGTTGGAGGGAAAGCTCAGCCATAGTCCCTTAGTCATGGGCTGGAAGATGTCTCCCAAATTCCCTCCTGAGCTCCTATCTCACTTGAGGTATTTCTATGTGGACTTCATAAAGGAACCTCAAACAGAACTCGGGGGTTGACATGACAGCTCACACTGCAATCCTAGGGAAGAAGGATCATTTGAGTCCAGGAGTCCAAGACCAGCCTGAGTAAAAGGAAGACCCCAAGTCCCCACCACCACGCCACCTCTACAAAAAAATAGAAAAAGCTGGGCATGGTGGTGCATGCACGTAGTTCCAGCTATTTGAGAGGCTGAGACAGGAGGTTGCCCTGAGTTATGATGGTTCCACTGCACTCTACTTGGGGGAAAAGAGTAAGGCTAATTTTTCTATTTTTTAGTAGAGATGGGGTCTCACTCTTGTTAGGCAGGTCTCAAACGCCTGAGCTCAAGAGATCCTCTGGTCTTGGCCTCCCAGAGTCCTAGAATCCAACTACAGGTATAAGACACCATGCCTTATTTTTTTTGGGAGGTGGGGAGGGACAGAGTCTCACTCTTCTTTTTTTTAAACCATAATTCTTTCTAAAGAAGGTATTGTTGCCAGAATTCAGGGTTCAAAGAGTGAAACCACAGATCACGCCAACAAGTGACAAGATACAGTTTATTGACACGAAAAGGTTGACAGACAAAAAAAATTTTTTTTAGAGTCTCACTTTGTTGCTCAAGGTATAGAGAGTGTCGGGGCATCACAGCTCACAACAACCTCAAATGCTTGGGCTCAAGTCATCCTCTTGCCTCAACCTCCCAAGCAGCTGGGATTACAGGTGCCCACCACAATGCCCGGCTATTTTTAGGCCATGTCTCACACTAGTTCAGGCTGCCCTCAAACTAATGAGCTCAAGCAATCCACCTACCTCAGCCTCCCAGAGTGCTAGAATAACAGGCCTGAGCCACTGTGCCCAAACCAATAGAAAAATTGATAAGCAAAAGAGGGGGAATAGAACCTCCAGCAGCAGAGGATGGGGACCCAACCAGGAAGCCCTCCAACTTTTCTCTAAATTAATCCCCTACAGTTAACAGGAAAAATACGGACATTGTGAGATAAAACAACGTAGCAAAAATATTAACAACTAGCAAATCCAAGCAAAGAATAAACATTTTCACTGTACTAATTAAATTTTTCTGCATTTGAAAATTTCAAAATAATCTGGGAAAAAAAATTAAGAACAAAATGTAATTGGCTCGGCACCTGTGGTTCAAGCGGCTAAGGTGCCAGCCATATACACCTAAGGTGGCGGGTTCAAATCCAGCCCAGCCGGCCAAAACAACAATGACAGCTGTAACCAACAAATAGCCGGGCGTTGTAGCGGGCGCCTGTGGTCCCAGCTACTTGGGAGGCTGAGGCAAGAGACTTGCTTGAGCCCAGGAGTTGGAGGTTGCTGTGAGCTGTGGTGCCACGGCACTCTACCCAGGGGGATAGCTTGAGGCT